CTAAGCTCAATTACTGCCCTACTGCACAACATCTGGATGTAAGAGCGTATTCCTTCCTCTTGGGGAGAATCACTGATCATTTCCACTTCCGAAAAAGGATCTCGCTACGATTTCGAAGACCATCGCGAGATATGTTTGATCCAAATCGTCTCCAAAGTGTTAGCCTCCATCGTACTTCGACGTCTGACTCGTTCTTCTGAAACCCACCTCCGTGAACAGCAAGTTGGATTCCGTCCTGGATCTGGATGTATTGATCAAATTTTAACGTTGCGTCAGGTTCTTGATAGGCGTCACAGCTACCGTAGACCAACGATTATCGTGTTCCTTAACCTGCCTCCAATAGGGTTCGCGAACTGCTTTTAGGGTTTCAGGTTTGCGATTCCTAATTTTCCTCTGAATGTGATATTCATGTTTGTGGTTGCATGCATCCTTCCTGATTGGTTGTATTTTTCTCCGACTTTGAAAGAAGATTTTTCTTTCCAGATCCAAGCTTTTCTCGCGATGTTGTGGTATAATCAGGAACTCCCTGGTTGATTTTATTGCGTTTAAGCCTATTTATGCATGCAAAGGACTTGATAATTAAATTTTGCACAGTGAAGATTATTGTTCCCATAATAAACTTAGTAAATCTATGCCAAATACCCGTATCCGTTCCTATATTATGCTCCTTCCCGCACGTATCACCACATAGAGAAACAGTTTCCCCCCACAACTCACTCTTTTTTAGTGAACCAGGCACCAGTTGGTACAAGTATGGTGAAACATCTTTTGCGTTATTGCTGGTTTTATTATTGTCTATTTATTGCTCGCAATATGATATCATTTTTCTCTTTAATGCTCTTTTGCGTTTTTCTGTCTCCACTGTATTCCCGTGAAATTCTCGAGAAATTCGCTCTTCCGGTACCTGAAGCTTACTATAATTTGATTTGAGTTGAATCTTGACTCGACTGTCGAGTTTTCCACATTTGCGCCATTGTCTAAGTACATAGTGCCTCTTGCAGTTAGAAATAAGCTCGTCGAGTTTTATAAGCGGTTCAGCACTTGAAAACTTTGGTTAGGTCTTCGTTGATTATTTTCTGTTTCAATGAGGTATAGGAATTGTGCAAATAAATCTGACCTCTGTCCCGCTATGATTATAGTTGCTATGCGTTACACGCCGGGCTGTTAACGTACATCAACTACCGCCAGTCTTAAAGACCCTCTAGACGAATCATATAGCTCACGAGCAACCAATTTACCATCTCTAAAACCCGAAGATTTTTGGTTGTATCCGACGTATTTTGTAGTACCGTGACAGGATGTACTGGTATGACCTAACGTGACAAAGCGTAAGTGACAAGTGAGTTCTCGCTCGGAAGGATATGGGGAATATGATGCGATGAACTGAATACCAGCCCTGAATGGACTGATGTTTTCACTCAACGCCCCACTACCTTGAGGGTCAGGCTTTGGCTAGTCAAAGACTCCGGTTGTGAATTCCCCGAGAAAATTCACCTCCTTTGATTTGTGCAGTCTGATAGTATTACGACCGCAAGGAAATCATGGGATTTTTCATTGTTATAAAGACTATTGTAATTTACTTTTTTGGCACGTATGTGACGTATGTGAAAATCGGCTCCAGTTTTAAAAACCATAAACCATGCACCTTCATGCGGTGGTTACGGCTGGTGTCCTCAAACCGCCCATTTGAAAAAAAGACCAGAAGACTGGATTGTTGAGAGCTGTGTCGAAGAAAAACTAGAGAATTCCTATGGACTAAGGTTTCAACGATATTGAGTAGATTCACAAGCACCACTGTTTGCGACACTCAGCCATGTCGCTCAGTGTCTCTTACCACGGATTACTATAGCCCCGATGTCCCCATCCAAGAAGCCTAAAGTGAACCATGTCACCTAGGCACCTTCTCGGGGTTGCCATATCCTCATGCAAGGCCTTAGTTTGACCGCACTTGACTTTTCCATTTGTTACCTGTCTTGAGAAACTTCATTCACCACGGTACTCTTTTTGACGATGCCCATTACATGCTCCAACCAACGTACTCTATGGGGGTCGAGCACTTACTCTAGTGGATGACCGCGGCAACCTAAAACTCAATTCCTGATCTCAACATTGCTTGTCCCATTCCCCCACCAGGCTCGTGCGTGAAAAAAGAATGTTATATAATTGGTTCCTTTTTTTGGGTGGGGGGGGGAGATTTTTTCCTATTTCAATTGTAACTTGTGTCCTGCTAAAGAAGCGAGTTAAGGGAGCTTGGAACGGCTCACGAAGTAGCCGCGGTTATGTACTATAAACGTTTCTTTAAGCGGCTATGATCCTAAATCAGCGTAATGTTGTGCATGCATTATATCTTTCTAGGATGATTTTGATAGTGACGTGGGACGCGAATTGTATGTGCGAATCTTGACGCTGGTACATCAGGATGCTGCCGATGAATTGAACAATTTTCTTCGTTCACTCTCTTCAGAGTCCAGTTCAAATGACAATGAAGCGGATAATCAAATCACCCCTTCCACATGGTTTATCAAGCGTGCGAAAAGAAATCTTTTGCACGTAAGTCAAGCATATTATTCTCGTTAATGAAATTCCTTGAGTTTTCATCTCCATCTAAACTTGTAGACCTATAACACAACTGAGCGACCTTTGCCAACTGATGGCGGTCCTCTGTCTGAAATGAACGTTTCCCGGGAAATAATGTATCTTAAAAGATGTAAGACCTCCTACCTGGATAGGCTGTCTCCATCGGCTTTCAAGGATGGAGGTTCACGATTAGTCTCGGAATCGAAGAAACTTCTGGGTTCAGTGTTATTTATGGAACAGGTTTCAACTAAAGAGTTCTGAGTTGTTAACTTAGTCTACTGTGATGGTAGTCTAAATTCGCTTGATTTTTTTTCAATGACCAATACTATCGGTTACCTGCTCTTGAAGTACTCTGAGCCACATCTGCTTACTAATCGGAATATTTAATCGCTCCCTCTCTTTTTCTCTCTGTCGCTCTTCAAATTTGTTTTGTCTCTGCTGTGACCTACAGCTCTGTGCCTATCTCCAAGCTCCAAGTTGCGTTCGTCTCTTGCTCCAACCTCCCTATGCGTGGGACCCTGATCAGCCGGATCGTACCAATCGTACCCCGTTGCATTTAGCTGAGGCCCGGGACGATTTAATCACCCAATGCGAACTGATCCTGTGCACCCGGGAACAGCGTCAGCCGGCTCGATGGCCCGTTACCCGACTCGAATTGGATGGTTTGGCCTCAATTTGTTTGTTCTGGCCGCAACAGTTGCTCGCGTTACCGATACCACTGAGTGCTGTGAGTTAATCAGTTGCTTTGGTGAATGTGACGTATTTTTAGTATATACGTACTTAATAATTCTCAACCACCAGTCTCGATCAGCTTGAGTACCGACATATAGTCAAATAACGACAAACAAAAGCGGATGGTGGTGTTAGTCTCCATGATAATATCAGCATAGTAGGCTGTGCTGTTGCTTGACGGATGAATCTAAGATAATCGGTTGACTTGAGGTACGTCAATTAAGATTAAGTTTAAAGTAATAGATGGTGAAAAATTTCACTCAATACACAAACAAAATTATAACCCGAAGAAATTTCTTTTCTTAGCTATGGATCGAATTCAGGACCTAACAGGTAGAACGCGAGCATACTACCCAATCGGTCACCGGGCAGCTGATGAGACAGTTTTTATCATTTTCAATACACACGATATAGCACACCTCATCTTTGTGAGCTTGTTGTGAGTATCCATACTCTCATCTCAGCCCTCGTCTCCAGGGCTATGTCTCGGTTAGAAACTTCAACAACCTGACTATTTGTTCTATGACCGTAATGGAGGATTTGATCTGTTTATATGAAGAATTCGTTCTTTCGATCCCCAATTGGGTCGATAAATTCGCACTGCAGTCCACTGTTTCTCGGCTTTTCATCCCACGCCTCATTTACACGAGGAATTCATCATATAACTTTCTTGTTCATATTTAGCATTAGGCATTTACCTTCGTGATATAATAAATAAAAGGTTGACTAATTATGTTTCTCCACCATGACGAGACTGCATCTTGACGTGGTGTGATGGCTTGCATATCTCCGTGACCCTGCGAGCTACACAGGATGGCTTTTCACAGCCGCAGATCCATTCATGCCTGAAAGGTCAATGAGCAGAGGCCGGGCAAAGCTCAGTTTCACGAGGCCAGCTGTTTTGGCACCTCCTGGCATCCTTTATCTATAAACGCTCGCCCCTGAGAAGTTCACTCCATTAAATAAACACGGCGAGGGGCAGTTTATCGGTAAAAAACCGCTAGATGCACGTAGGAGCGGGGTACCGGTTGCTTCTTGTGTGCACTTCATTGAACACTTGCCGCCCTGCCCCAAGCTGGGCAGCCCCCATTCAATAAGGTGCTGTCCTGTCCACATTCCGCCTGTTTCATTGGACGTACGAGGCTAAGGGCCGAAAACGGACCGTCACTCAACGCACTGAACCGAACCCTAAAAGACTTGCGTGACAGGTCTCCAGAAGATCCCGCGCCGGTGTTTCGGTTACGCTCCCGCTTTGAATCTATGCTCTACTGCCTTGTGGACCAACCTTTTGAATCAAAGGCTCCGGTTGGGGTTCCCCAAGAAAAGCCCCTTCGTCCATGTTGGTTATCGCGGAGTACGTCGAGCCCCAAAATCTTTCGTACCCATTTGAAAAAGTCTTCTTTCTCATCCTTCTGGTTCCTCTTCTTACTCCCAAATCTTAGCAGGCGCATCCTGTTTGCTCCAGCCATGGGACATCACTCAGCGTTCTACAAGTAAGGCCAACTATCAGGTTTTTGAAACCAAATCTCCCTTTCACTTAGCCGCGTTTGATGTCCGCACACTATCAGATCCTGCAATAAACTGACTTAACTAGAACTCTTAAAACTTTCCATTTAGGTAGATGCTGTGTCTGTGAAACACATACAAGACCCTACTTTAACCATCTTCTTGCATTCTCCTGATCCAACGACATCCTCACGTTCAGTTCAATTCAGTTTCCAAATGGGTACTTAAGACTTTAGGGCACGGCATACTTCGCGGTAACCTACACCGACGAAGGGGTTTTTCTTTAGGAACCCTGACCGGAGCCTTCGACCAACAAGGCAGTGGGGCGTAAATTCAACGCGGGAGGGTGAACGAAGCACCCGTGTGGGAGTTTCTATACCTTTTCACCTTCAAGTGAATCCGTTGTAACTTCAAGTGAATCCAACCAATCGCAC